GTTTTATAAAAATTGCTAAAATCTTATATGCCAACATTCAGCCGAGCTAAACTCTCGGTTATCTGTTCTCTATTTTGGGGCTGCAGTAACATTTGGTAAACAGAATGCCCTGAGCCTCTTCTCAAACACCACTAGCAGGCACTGTGAGAGCATTTTCATTCAAGTTCATTCGACTTGGGCAAAAAGAGAACAGCGGCTCACATCAACCGAGGATCAGTGAACACAATCTCATAGCAACAGACACCAAAACAGTCCCTCATTACAAGCCTTGTCCAACAATCAAGTCTTTAACGAGAACAAAGGTTGACAGTGATTAATCATTAAGCAGTTCCCTGTTCCTGGCTGCACGTGTTCTCAGCAGCCTCCTACAGAGGCAGTCTGGCATATTTCCTGTCTCTGTGCTCCACTGTGCCATGTCTAAAGGGACGCCCAGGCGGCCTTCTCACCATTTTAATTTCAAATGCTACAAACATCTACAGAGTCTCTATGTGCACATGTCTTGACTTTTATTCTGAGCCTGGCAGACTCTGAATGGATATAGGGAGTGTGAACATAATAAGCCGTTAACTCCACATCTGCTTACTAGATTATGTTCAAAAAGACAGTATAAGAAATTGATTAAACACTGTTTTCTAGAATAAACCTTTGAAAGCTGTTTGTTTCCCCAAGCAACACAATGATAAGTTGATATAGTTTAATTGTACAGGGAACGTAAGATACCTTCTGTATTGTTTCCACATAAAAATAACTTCTATGTTGACAAAGCACCATACTTTGAAAAACAATACAAAACATTTTCAGAAACCTCTTTCTAATAATTCTGTTTCACAGACAACAGAGTTGTAATGTTAACTAATGTTGTCACCATTTTATTCAATACTTCCCCTTCTAGGTAATTGTTTCTATGTTGACAAAGCACCATACTTTGAAAAACAATACAAAACATTTTCAGAAACCTCTTTCTAATAATTCTGTTTCACAGACAACAGAGTTGTAACGTTAACTAATGTTGTCACCATTTTATTCAATCCTTCCCCTTCTAGGTAATTGTTTCTAGGTAAATGTTTTTAATTACTTCTCTAGGCCCTATTTATCTATCTTAGTTGATCATGCAATGGAATATATATTCATCTTAATAGACTGACTTGGAGGTTCTTACTCTCTCTCAACATATAAGTATCACTGATAGTCATGTTGGCTGTGAACTAGGTCAGGCAAAAAGGGAAGAGTTATAAAACACAAATTTCTAAATGGTGAGGGGCAAGGGTTAATGGAAACTTAAAAAAATCACCAGGGAAGCCGGTTATGTAACAACAAACATATCGTTTTACCAATAACAAATATCATATCTAGCAACAACAAAATGAGATAACCCTGAGGATTCTTTGTATCTATTAAATTCCTTCTTCAAATTAATCAGGATTAAATAAGGCCAGTGCTTCAGTAGTTCAAGAAGCAGATTTTAACCAGTACGTCCACAATATAAAAGCTAAAGCAAAAACTCCAATCACAAAGTTTAAAATATGCAAGTCTCCCAGTGTACTCAGCATTTTAGTATATGGGGCTGTAATTTCTTTAAACTGAGTTATATTCACTGAGGAAAAGGGAAACGACAACGCCGTTCCACAAACAAAGAGGCCACCTTATTATTGGCAACTAAGCTCTTCACACAAATGTATGTGACAAGGATGACATAATGGTCTTTGACTCACTTTGAGATCAAAGCAGCCTGATAGGAAACTCCATTCAGAAAACGAACATCTTTAACCAGAGCCTCCAGGGATCAACATTTAACACTAACATCAATGAACTCTGAACTGAGAAGGAAAACAGTGATCAACTGTACGAAGAAAAATTTTAGATTTTGAGGTGGCCTCAGACAACGTTCCAACCAATCTGATTATTTTGATTCTATTCAATTTGTGGAAATATACTCTACCTTGTCTACGTATATCTGTAATTAGGGTAAGTTGACTTCACCTCACACAAATATACTTTAAAAGCAGTATTTAGCTTGAACTGGTCTGCTTATCCTCTTTTTTTCCAATTAGAAGCTACATTTGTAACGTTTGGGGCCTCATGTGAAAGTCTTAGAACAAAGACCTAAATCAACTGCAAGTTAAGGGACTCTAAAACTATGTGTAGACGGCATGGAACTTTAGAGCAATTTCCAAATCAGGGAGTAAGCAAATCTCAACGAAATTCCAAAACAGGTTTATTTGAGTCATTAATCCAAAAATAACAATAGTAGCTTTCATGTGTTGGGAATTTAGAACGTATAAGTCACGATACTGGGCACTCTGTGCACTATTACATTTCATAACTGTAATAAGCATCTATGTACTAACTGCCCTATTAGTGTATCTATTTTACAGATTACAGAACTGACACTTAGAGAAGCTAAATAATTCATCTAGTTAGTAAGCAATGAAGTCAAAACTCAGGCAGCCTGATGCCAGAGCCCTGCTATAATAATGTCAGAAAAGAAATAATACAAAGCTAACCCAACCAGAGTACTTGTTATAAAGCAGTGGTAAATCTATACCATTGGCACATAATATGGAAATATGAGGCAATATAATCTACTACACAAGAATATGATTTGGCTACATAGGCCTGCATTTGATATAGGAGTAAAATGACATTGAGTAAATTGTTTCATTTTTCTGAACACCAGTTCCCTCATTTGTAAAAGTGGTAAGATGTTTAATTCACGGGGTAGTAGTGAATTTTAATTGAGATAATATCTGTAGAAAGCATTTTGTGAACACTGTACTCCAGTTGGTTGTTCCTTATGTGAAAAATAAAAGCATGAAGCTGCTGACATGTTTTCTACTGGGCTAATCCAATACATGTGGAAGAGCAAAACAAACAATAAAATGAAAGTGCCAAAAAGGCAAAAATAAAAAAAAGGCAATTTATGGAGACATATTAGTGATGACCCATGTATACCAAAACGTGTAGAAGGGAAGGCCAAAGTGACCTAAAAAATAAGTGAATTTTCTGTAGGCATTATGGCATAGTTGTTAGGAATGTGAACTTTGTGCGTATTCAATCCTAGGTTTAAATCCTGGGCAAGTTATTCAAGTGTTAAGGTCCCTAGTTTTCTCATTAATGAAATGGAGATCATGAATGTTGGAATTAAAGGAGATAATGTATATATAGTGCTTCATAGTTATAAGACTCAGTTAATATGGTAACTATAAATTATTATTGTTGTTGTTATTATTTAACTTCTCAGTCATTGCAGTTTAAAGAAAAGAATATAATGTCAGGAGAGGTATGTATCAGACAGAGATCACACATTTGTAGCTTCCAGATTTTAACCCTTAGCTGGTCCCTGAGGAATGCCCATAAAAATGTATTTGGGGATGTCTTTAAGTACATCATAAGGCTGACTCTAAAGTCTTTTTGCTCAAAATGTAATCTTTATTTAAACGGGTTGACCTCAATAATTGGCTCATTTCAGTACTTCAGCTTGGGTCTCTGTGTCTACATAGCTAGACCTAGACTGATTGAATGGAAGGTAGTCCAATGTATTACATGAATCTGGAACTGCTTTCTGACTGATCATGAGAACAGACACTGCCTACGTGTATGTGGCAGGGAGGGCAGGTGGGTAGTGCCTAGTGGAACAGAGCAGACAGCAGAAAAGAGAAGGGTAGGGGAGACAAAGGCAGGAAGGTGAGAGCTGGAAACCAAAGAGTCATTCTGACCGTCCTGCTCCTAGCAGCTGCAAGAAGCTCTCTGGTGATCAGATTACCAGATTACCACTTGCACCAGATTCAGAACCCTTGCCAAAGACACTGACCCCCAACATGCCTCTTACACCTCGCTTCTGTTGATGTTTTGAAGCCACCCGCCCCTTCCAAGTTTGAAGGGAGCACACACCATCCCGTTTAGCAGAGATATTCAGATTCTAGGAAGAACATTTACTGCGGGGAGGGAAATTAACCATGGTAGCATTTTACAAGGACTTTTGGAAATAAACAGAAAGCTCCTAATGTTCATTTATATATATATATCCAGCATACCCTCCTAGATTGTATTTGCATAGAATTCTGGGCTTTAGGAACATTAAGAAAAGGGTCCATATACTATACATTGTCAGTATCCTAAGGACTAAGCTTTTGGTTTAGAGTGCTTTCATATTACAACACAGAGACTCTTTTGAATTTAGGAAGAACAGAACCAAAAATTCTACCAAAAAGATATGTTTAAATGGCTAAAAACAAGGGGAGAAAGAACCAGCCAAATGTTTCTAGCAACCCTTTCTCATCATATATGGGAACTATATAAAATTTACAGTTTCTCAGAGTAATATTAAACTGTAGAAATTTTAAAAGTAATTTAGTGTAGGGGAAGGTCATACCTCTAACCTTTGCTAGGGAGAGGCAAAGATATAAAATGCAATCAAAATGTTTGTACTTTCATATTATCTTAAATAAAATAAAATATCTTAAATAAAATAAAAATGGAAAAGAAGTAATTTAGTGAAATTAAAGATATGAGGAGTAACCAGTGATAGTGATAACAGCAGTCAACATGTATTCAGGGCTCTATATGTGTGAGGCATATTATGAAACAATTTAATGACCCTGTTTAACCTTCACGACATTCTTTTGGAGTAGATTTTACTATTCCTCCCATTTCATAGGTGAGGAAAATGAGGCTTAGAGAAGTTAACTAAATTGCACAATGTTCCTCAGTTAGCAAATAGTGAATTAAAATCCAGTTTGAAAGGCCAGGTGTGCTTTGGTTATACACACCCTGATTTCTGAAAAAGTGCATGTAATTGAAATCTTAAAAACCAAAGCACACTCTAAGGTTAGAAGATTAGATCAGCTCCTACTGCTCCTCCCCCCTCCCTCTTTTCCTTCCCTTCTCTCCCTCCCTCCCTCCCTTCCTTCCTTCCATAAAACAAACATATTTTGAGTTCCTATACTGAGTAACTGGGGTGACGGCAGTAAACAAACCACTGCTTCTGGCCCTTGTGATGCCAATATTTCAGTGTAGGAAGACAGGTAGTAGACATATTAGCCGATAATATATCACATGATGATAAATGCTATTAAAAAAAAAGGTATGTTGGTGGTATAGGTCGGAGGGGGTAGGGTGATCAGAGATGACCTCTGGGATAAGATGACATTGGACCTGAAGGAAGTAAAAGGAGAGCCCTGTGCATAGCTGGAGGGATTTCAAGGCCTGAGGTCTTGAGGTGGGAGCCTGTTTGTATACCTGAAGCCTGGCAAGCAGGCCAATGTACTGCTGTAGAAAAAGGGGGAAGAGTGGAGGTGGGGGCGGAGGGGTGGAGGAGCCAGGGAGACATGACCCTGCAGGGCCTTGAGGTGACTGGCAGAACTATAGCTTTTACTGGGATAATAAGGAAAGCCATTAGAGGATGTTGAGCAGAGGAGTGGCATGACTTGATTTATATTTTAAAGATCACTCTGTCAGCTACACGGTGAATAGTTTGTACGGGGAAGGAAGACTAGTAAGGAAGGTTACAGGAATAACTCAGGGCAGAGACGGCAGTGGTTTAGACCAGAGTGGTGGCAGTGAGAAGTGGCTGGATTCCATATAGACTCAGAAGACAGATCCGCTAATAAGCCACTATAAGATCTTTGGCCTGAGCATAGGGAAGTACAGAGTCATCATTTTCAAAGATGGAGAAGACTATGAGACAAACAATTTTGATTTTTTTGGCGGGGTGGTGGTGGAGGATTAGGGGTTAGAAGTAAGGAATTTAACTTGGGATGTCAAGGTTGAGATTCTTATGAAACATCCAAGTGGAGATGTCAGGGAGGCAACTTGATCTATGAGTCTGGAGTTCAGGAGAGTGATATAGGCTAAAAATATAAATTTGGGAGTTGTCATGATAGAGAAACTATTTAAAGCCATGAATTTGGATGATATCACCTAGGCAGTGAGTACAGATGATGAAAAGAAGGAGTCCAAGGACTGACCTTTGGGCACCCCATCATTTAGAAGTCTGGTAGCTGAAGAAGAAACCAGCAAGGAAAAGTGCCAATCATGAATGAGTGGTGTCCTAAAAGCTGAGTGAAGAGAGTGTGTCAAGGAGAAGAGAGTGATTAATGGATTTCCTGCTGCTGATAGGTCAGGTAAGATGAGAGCAGAGAATTGACCATTGGGATTGACAATGTGGCTTTGACAAGATTTGTTTCATTGCAAATCCAGAGGGACAAACATGATTGGAATGGATTTGAGGCAGAATGAGAAGCATGGAAGTAGGGGGTTAGGGTTTCTGGAGAATTTGTTTCAAGGAGTACTGCTGGGGAAAAAAGCAGAAAAATGGAAAGATAGCAGAAGGAATATGGAGGTTCTTTCTTTGTTTCCTAATGTAGGGGATAGGCTTGTAAGGTTATAATAATAATTTAAAGGAAAAATGGCAAATGCCTTCATGTGAATCCTTTTATTTTTTCTGCTTTATAATATATACAATTTAGTACATGGATTTTGCTTTTAAAAATAATATTACTAGTAAGTATGACTAGTGAAGTTATAATAGTGCCAGCGATAGTCTGTGGCTATCACTCTGATCATAGCAATAATTCTGAATATACTCTCTATAGGGTTTGGTCTCTAATACTTTGCAACAGGAAGCTATTAGCTTCAACTTGGGGTCTTCAGAGTAGAAAGGCAGGCTGAATGTGCTCCAAAAATCACAGACAGGTTTTTGAATAAATTACAGTTAAAGCCACATAATGGAAAAATGTTATGGAAAGAATTAGCCATTTAGTCACTTCAGATATAACTCCTGGCATATCATATTTTATTTGGGCTAAGGTAATGCAACTTTGAGTCTATAAAAATAAATTTAAATTGCTCATTACACCTATTTTAGCAGCTAAAAGTTAATAATAATAATAATAATAATAATAAATATGTGCAGAACCAGACACCTGGCAGTGAATAGTGGATTGACAAGCTACTAGAAACAGTCTAGCTGGGGAGACAGGTCAGATTTAGAAGACCTTAATATTGGAAGAATAAAATTATACATTATAGTTCATTTTAAGTAAAACTTTTGTTCAAAAAAACAAAATTCAGCTGCTGGTTTATAAATTTCCCTCCATTTTCATGACTCAAAGTGCAGACTTTGCTTGTCCCTCTGAGTCTCCTAGGTCTGGAGTTTATGCTATTCAGTTGCTAAGTGCCATCTAATGAGGCTGGGAGAGCTTTCTAGTGAATCGATCCACACTGTTGGCATGACCAACATTGGAGGCCAAGTCAGTGAAGGGCAGTGCGCGGAGGTGGAACGACTTTGCACACACAGATTTAGCAGTGGGGAAAGGTTCTCTTAGATCCTCCCTTCACTTCTAAACTCCAGCAAAGGCCAACATAGATTCCCAAGACCATCTCCAGGCAAAAGTATCAGGCAAAGTACCAGGCAAAATATGCCTTCAAAATTCCCTCTTCTTGCTATCTCTTTCCCCAGATTCTCATTTTTCATCAGATTTTCATTTTTCTTAAGCAACTCTCTTCTGTCCAGGAATCTGCAGTCTGCTTCTTCTGCCTGCTTCTGCAGTCTAACCCACACTTGCCTTCCCCATTAGGACTGTATGACTCAGATTTATAAAGGTCTCCTTCTTAATATTGAAAATTGTCTAACTTATAGCCAATTTCTCAGCTAGGTCAGTACTTTTCAAACTTTAATGTGCGTATGAATCACTTTGGGATCTTGTTAAAAGGCAGAGCCTTATTCAGCAGGTGTTGGGGGAAGGGTGGCTGGGACTCCGAGTTTCGGAATCTGTTGTATAACAGGTGCCATCAATTCTGATGGTTCGGGACCACAGACCTTACTCGGAGTGAGGAGCCGCCAGGTGATGCAAGCTACATGGACAAACTACTGAGAACTAAGGTGGCAGACATACATATTACTGTACGTCTGCTTTCAGATAACGTTTGCAGTTTCACAGGCGTATTTTACACATTAACCAGGAAAGTGAATAAAACAGGAATTTTCAGTTTCAGTGGCAGAGTTTAAAGGAGAAAATTTTTGTCAGAATGAGAGAGAGAGAGAGAGAGAGGTGTTTCTCCCTTTCTCCCTTTCAAATTGAATTACCTTCAAATTATCAGAAGTCTAGACCTAGAGTCTTATTTTTTTTTTTCCTATTTTTAAAGACAGGGTCTTGTTCTGTTGCCTGGGCTAGAGTATGGTGGCATCATTATAGCTCACAGCAACCTCAAATTCCTGGGCTCAAGTGATCCTCCTGCCTCAGCCTCCCGAGTAGCTGGGACTACAGACATGTGTGCCACAATATCCGGCTGATTTTTCTATTTTTACTAAAGATGGCATCTCACTCTTGCTCAGGCTGGTCTTGAACTCCTGAGCCCAAGCAATCCTCCCACTTCAGACACCCAAAGTGCTGGGATTACAGGTGTGAGCCAGGTCCTGCCCAGGCCCAGCATTCCTCTTGCCTTTGAAGTTGGGCTTCAGGAGTGGCTCTGAACTAAGTCTGTGGTTCTGAAAACAAGGCTTTGCTTTTGTTCCTGAAACCAGGTTCACACCTTGAACCTGGTTTACTTAGGTTGGAAGATCTCTGTCCTGTGTCTGTGACTAAGTTCCAGTCTCTGTGGGCCAGGCCCTCTAGGATGGGAGGAACTGCCTTGCCGAGGGCTGGCACTCTGTCTGCATGCCTAGATCTCTACCACTGCTCCTGTTTCTGCAACCATGTGATTTACATCTATGTGATCCAGCCACAAGTCAGGGCACCCTGATGAAACTGTGTGAATTTCATTTTGCTGATCACACAGCTGTATTCCCACCGGTTATCTGCAGTTGTATTCTGTGTGGCACAATGGTCTCCATTGCTAGCCTCTGTCCTGGATCTGTCCTGAAACCCCAATGCCTGCCCTGTTATAATCAGGGAATTTTGTCCCAGTTTCCTGCCTTTCTCATTCTGCCCTGAATCACTGCAGATAAATGGGCCATGTGTATCTGTGTCCAGAGACATAACAGATGGGATCTTGGGGATTAAGGTAGCAAACGGAGAGCAGAGGGCTTTTAGAAGGATTAGTCTCTCGCCTAGTGGGGAGGGTAGAGAAGGACGCTGGGGAGCTGATTTGAAAAGGGTCACTGGGTCCGGTGAGCATATGTGACAGTTGTTGGATTTACTCTGCCTTCACTGTCCCTGTCTGTTTTCCTGAATATCTGTAGAGGAAACAGCACTAGAGTAAGAGTCAAGTAACATGGATTTGAATGCTGGCTCCGCCACTTACTAGCTGTGTGACCTTGGAAAGGTCAATTAACCTCTCTGAGCCTATTTGCTCAGGTGTAAAACGAGGCTAATAATATGTGTCTAATGTGGCCCACAATGAGGCTGACTGGGGTCTCACAAGGGTCAGATGAAAGGATGTGTGCAGAAGCGCTCAGCCTTTATAAAGGGCTTTATTAAGGGAAGGCAGTGTTATGGCAACGAGGATGTTAGGAATGGAGGGGCAGATGGACTACGCTGGTAGGCACCAGGCCTGCCCTTAAAAATGAGTGATGATGGCATCTTTGTGTTTAAATAGAACCAGGCAATTGTCACATTATAGAAAAGGCTTGCTAAAAATACCATGTGTGAAGAAGACAAGGAATGCGGGGGCTTCCTGAGACTGGGGAGTCGGTAGAGCTGAGCAAGATTCAGGGAGGAAGAGACTGCAGGAACATGAAGTCCTGGAGAACCAGCCAGAACAGCATGGAGCACCTCTGCAGGGCATGTGCCACAGTGGACCATCCCTGGCAGGACACTCAGCTAATTATGCTACTGATTGCAAACTCTGACCCTTGGCAATGAGGGAGGTTCAGCCACACTGCCTCCCTTTCTGATCTGCGGTCGAGATGGGCAGATGTACAAGGGGATAAGCTACAGATGGCACTATTGCTATAGGATGGAGTCACTGTTTGCATATTTTGTTGCTCGGTAGTCTAGAGGCCTCTGGAGGACCTCCCTTCTCTCATGTTCGTTCCCAACGCACCCACTTGCCCAGCCCAGCCGTACCTCCTCGCCTTTCCAGCACTGTTCCCACGCACGTCAAAGCTTTACAGGCTGCCCAGGAGCCAGGCAGGAGCAGTTGGCCAGGCTCCCCAGAACGGAGCCGGGACCACCCAGCTAGTGAGAGGACTGATGTGGAATGTGGGATCATGTTATGGAGCGCAGCAGGACCACACTGCTACATGGGATGTCCCATCTGCGGCCACAGGATCTAGGGGGCCGTCGGGAAAATGCAGACAGACTTCATGAGTTCTCACAAGAGGCCCTGGAAACATGAGGGGTGGCCGTTCATTGCAAAAGCCTTTCCGTTTCCTGCATGAGTTGTACACATCTCCGACACTTTCAGGCTCAGAGCAAACAGAACATGGCTGGGAAACTCTGCACAAGGCACAAGGTAGGAAAGCAGAGGGAGGAAGTAGGGAAGATGGGGGAAAAGTCAGGTTATTAAGATGAGGTGCCTCTATCAAGAGGTAGTGAACACGAAGGCAGTTTTGCTGAATAAGGCCAGAATCACCTTTAAAATGGATAAGTCTCCTGCAGTAAAGTGACAGATTAATTAAACTGCAAACTCTCTGGGTTGTCTCGGGCCGGAGAAAGTTAAGATATAGGATGATCATAAAAATGGAAAGTCCAGATATCAAAGGCACAAAATAGCTGAGGCAAAGACTTGGAAAACGCTGGTTAAAGGAGATTTCAGCAGTATTTTACAGAAGCAAAATGGTGAGGGGAAGATATATTTTTAATAGACAATTAAGAATTTTCTCTCAGGCAAAAATAGTTTAGGTAGACAATGAAAGAGTTGCAATAGGAGAAAAGATTATTTCTGCAAAATGCCTGGGCCTTGGAGGAAGAAGGTGGTTTTATAGCTCCAATTCTACTGCTTCCTAATTATGCAGTGGTATAAAAAGTTGCTTGACCTCTTATGCCTCAGTTTCCATCTATATGGATTGGGTATCTGAGTAATGCCAAGTTAGATGGATGTCATAAAGCTTAAAAGAGATCTCGCATGTGAAGGCTGTTTGTAATCTGTAAAGTTCCAAACAAACGTCAGCTATTATTATCACAGAATGCCTCTATTCTCCTCCACTATTTTTCATACCCTTTAGGTGTGCAGACATGCA